TCTTCTTTTGAGCATCGATCAAAGTTCTCATTGGCATAAGTAACAGGCACATGATACTCGCCTCCGTCGGATACATTAGCTGTATGCTTGGTCCCCTGAAAAATTGCAATTTTAGGTCTCTGAAGAAGTTTTGCCTCTCGGCTCCACTATCATGCATCTCAGCTCACATTTACGTTCCCCTCTCTTGTTTGCCTCTATTTTGGTCCATATCGAATCGGTTCAATGGTGGAATAGGTACCACTAGAGTCAGCGCAAAATCCTAGGCCTCGTCTGATTATCTTTCCTACTGTGACTCTCATTCTTAAACCTTTTGGACTAGTCCGACCTTTTAGGCTCCAAATGCCTATAGGTCCCAAACCAAGGCCTCTCCTCTTTTGAAGATCGCCTGCCATCTACTTAAGGTTCTCACTGGTATAAGTAACAGCCTCATGATACTCGCCTCCGTCTGATGCATTAGCTGTATGCTTGGTCCCCTGAAAAATTGCAATTTTAGGTCTCTGAATAAGTTTTGCCTCTCGGCTCCACTATCATGCACCTCAACTCACTTGAGCATCTCCCACTCATGTTTGGTCTCTCTTTTGGTCCAAATGGCAACTGTTCAATGGCGGTATAGGCACCACTAGCGTCAGCGCAACATCCCAGGCCTCTTTTGATTATCTTTCCTACCGTGCCTCTACAAATGCCTTTAGGTCTCAAACCAAGGCCTCTCCTCTTTTGAGCATCGGCTGCCATCGACTAAGGTTCTCGTTGATAAAACTTACAACCCCATGATACTTTTCTTTGTCTGAATCATTATCTATATACTTGGTAACGCCTACCGAAAACGAACTTTCCGGTCGCTGCTCGAGTTTTGCCTCTCGGCTCCACTATCATGCATCTCAGTCCACATTAACGTCTCCCTCTCCAGTTTGGCCTCTGTCTTCGTCCATATCGCAACTATTTAATGGTGGTATAGGTATCACTAGTCTCAGCTCATCGGCTGCCACGCAATTTTATTTCTCACATCCACGTCTATTGGAATGATGTCTTTCTTATTCCACCAGCGCCCGATTCTTAGCACTTGAACTGCTTTGGGTCTCATCCACTCACATGTTTAACCATACTCTATTGTATACTTTTTCTGCACCTCCTCTGGTCAGCGCAAATCTTGGGGTGAAACCTTAGCAATTAGCGGTGCTGTCTGCATTATTTTCTTACCCCTGTCGTTTTCTCTCTACAGCTGTCGCAAATATTGCTGTCTGTTCTCTCTCTTGTATTCCACACTGTGCACCTATCAGACTATGCTGAGCCTAATAAAGTGTGCCGCTCCTGTTTACTAACTAATCAGGCTGCCAGCAACTCACCAGTTAGTGAGTTATAACTAGCAGTCTATTTGACTTCAACGTTCCACCTTGGATATACACATCAGAGTGGCACACCTAACATCCTTTGCGGCTGATGCTCACAATACTGATATTCCAGGTCCCCTTCAGCACTGGCCCTACAACCATATTCTAGCTATACCTGTGGTATTCAAGCCCTTCTCTCCTGTTATTAAAGTTGAAGGCCTGTCAGCAAGCAGTTTCTTCCACATAACTAACCCGACTCCCAGTATCACCCTTTCCTGTCGTATATATGACCTGTTTGCTGCACTGTAGAAGTCCCTATCCTTTTCCGCTATTCCAGGTCCCTTTAGGGCTAGCTTTGCAACCGTACTGTCGCCACAGCTGTAGTATATAAATCCCATTCTCGTCACAAATTTGACGCTCCGTCTCACCCCTTCACCCAGCTGTCTAGCATCTGATTAATGAACATGTTACGTTATTATTTTCATGGCCTCAAACCCGGCGTAATAACATCACTGGCTCTCTCGAACGATAATCTCTAGCACTGTCAACAGATCGCTCAACCTATATCGTAAGCGCTTATTAAACCACTCACTATGCTCTTCTGATTCCCTCAACTCATTTACCGGTTAACAACGCCTGATACTCACGGTTTCCAAACAGGACAACTTTTGCGTACGCTAAACTACTTCGGCTAGCATCTTCATCTCACATTCAGCAAATATCCGGTCTTGTGCTTGAACGCATAACTACGGATTTGATGTATAACCTATACGGTCACTCCATTGCTTTTAACCAGCACAACTATACCATGAACTTGATATTTATACAATAACATAGTCCCGTTCACTTTTGTTGGCAGTTTGCTCGTTCCGTTTCTCTTCTCTCCCATGTTCTACAGGATAACATTACCTGCACGGAACACCGCTGAGGACATACCTGCGACGCTCGCATGGGCACGAAAGTAATAAAGTATAAAGAAAAAGCCCGCACTTCGTATTCCTGACACTAACGAACCTAGAAAACTGATCAACTCAATACAAGTCACTTGAGTCGTCCGACTTTAGCAGCTCCAACCACCTGCACTGGACTCTGAAGGCGACTACACGGCCATGGGAAACAAGTTGGCGTTCGGTGACTGCAATTATCCGCGAGGGTAATCGGACAGATGCAATTTTCTTAATGTTATATCACCAGCCGGCAGTGTTCCAGGACGTGATGGGTCTTCGTCTGGCAAGCTTTTTCCCTAAAAAAGCCACAAATGTCTGTTTAAAACACTGCGATGTGGCGGATGTGACTCGCCACTCAATAAAGTCACCGCCCCTAACACACATTGGCAAGTTGACCGATATCACATTTACAAGCTCTGTGCACATATCTGCTCTCGCACGAACACGCCTACATATCTGCTTAGTGACATGCCACTATTCTTAAGTATTTTTTACCCGTATCCTCATACTTCACTCATCTGACCCACACTGCGTACGGGACCTCATCGGACTAGTTCCTCATCAACATACCATGTTAGTGATCTGATTATTATCTCTACCTCTCGCATTCTGTGTACATAGACTTCATACAGCCTTTGGGCAATATGGGCCCACACTACTGTCTCCAACTGAACTACTCCCGCTGTTGGTGCTGCATATTCTGCTAACATGTACAATATTGCAATATGCTGATCATGATCAAAGGCGTGCCTCGCTTTGTCAAGAATAAAATAGTTATTTATTTATTTATTTAGGTCGTAAAAAGACTCACCTTACCAACGTGGGGTCCGCCAGACGATGCGTCGGCATTCTCCTTCGCCTTGGCATACGATCTTGAGGGGGCGTAACTTAGAAGGATCCGCTTGCTTCCTGCCAAGGCGGAAGGCAGAGATAATGTTTATACCCAATTCACCATCGAATAAATTATAAATCATTCACTCAAGGAACCCTTGGTCATCCATCATCCTTTCTGCATTGGTGTCCTTGGTGGATTCTGGCGTGTTCACAATGCTAGGACATCTTTCACGAGTGGGGGTTGAGCGCGGCCATAGATCTGCAGTTATGGTGACGTATTGCCTTTGATCAACCTTTCCAGCTTGTTGACTTTGTCGACAACAGATTTTAGTTGGGACTGGGAGGCAGTTTTCTTGGGTTTGGACTTAGAGTTCGCCTGAACATTACACATAGTTTGACTCCGACCCATTGGGAAGGTGGGAGTTTTCCGCATCACGGCAGCGTGTTTCAGTAATGGGCTCACTAAGCAAGGTGGGTGTCAAAGGCTGTGAATCGGAAGCAGATGGAACACGGCTTCGTTTACCCGTAGCTTTGGCGCGCGGTTTGAAATTTTGAAAAATCTCCATCTGAAAGTTTTTCGCCTTCAAATCCGACATCCAAGCGTATTCTAAAGAGACTGAGTGTGAAACCTTTACTTCGTTCCATCTATTATCTGATCGCTATCATCAAGACAGATTTCTTTGGTGGACGGTCCTGATCGGATCGCTGTCATCAAGACCTGAAGTGGAGTGGAATCCGCTGTGAGTCCGTTCCGGTTTTTTTTCTCTGTTTACATCCGTATCTGCTGTTCTGATTGCATTAGGTCGTTTTCCCACCTTGTCATCTATATTGTTTACTGTGTTAATTGTATTCACTCTAATCACCATCGGATCAACGTCCCGATGCCAACGGTTGCACGTAACAGTACATGCTACGTTTGTCACTCCGAGTCGCCACCACATGTTCGCTGTCTTTGTTGCAAGCGACAGTACCACGGGCGCTGTGCTAAACTCACACAGCCGGAGGCGGACTTCTACACTTCACATACCAAAGCTAAGTGGGTTTGCAACGACTGCGCAGAGGTACTTCACAGAGGCTTCAAAAACAGCCCTATTGGCTCTCTAGATGTGGCAGCCTTTAGAAACTTTTGCAGGGATTTGCAAGTCTCGACGAAGTCCACATCTAAAGGCGTCGACACTTGTGACTTGCCTTCTGGCGTTTTAGTAACAAACGTAGGCGTTGATACTTGTGACTTGGCATCAGTCGACATCTCAGTTACATCTTCACCACAACCTCAAGGCTTCGACTGTGTTTGCCCAAGCAACCCTCTGCCTGCAGGAGCAGTCTCCGGTGAACAGGAGCTGGACGACACCATACCTATGATCGTTGGCTCGTCTCCTCCACGCGACCCGCATCCGTTTCTGATTACAAGTGGGAGCAACACCCGAAAACTAACGGATGACTCGCCAGCAAGTGAGCAGACCACAGGAACCAGTGTCGAAATCCCACGGTGCAAATGTCGCAACCCCGCTAAACAATCGAGGGACAAACACCGTGCTAAAAACTGTGCCAAGCACACTCAGTGCGCCGTGCAATCGCAGGAGAACCCAGGTCCCCAGTTCACACATGTTACACAGCCGAGGCCCTCACAATGCAGCCAAGGCACCAATACGCCTCGGAGCAGTGGCTTGCCAGAATTCAACCGCAAGACTTTGATACTGTTCAATGTGGACGAGAGCGACCACCCGTCACTATCCCACAGAGCCAGTGCCGATCTATCCCAATGGCAATCCTTGCGGCAACTCCTTGGACTGCCGCCTACCTCCTCGCCCTCTCTCTGCCGTCTACGCGCACCCCGCTCACCAGGTGACAAACGCCCAAGGCCGTTACGCGTCACACTGGAAAGTGCTGATGACGTCGAGGAAACGCTCTTGGCATCGGCTTGCTTGAATAAACTGAGCACAAAGATTCGCGCCCAGCCAGACTTTCCCTGGGTTGTGAGGGAGGCAAGAAGAGAGGCGCGTATCAACAGCACGTGCGCCAACCACGATAGAGCTTGCAGTATAATTATACACGGAGTCCCAGAACTCCGCACTGCCGACCCGGTTGAATCATCCCGCCACGATGTTCAGCAGTGGTGCTATATTCGGTCGCAGCTTAACCTATCAGTGGACAACTGTGGGGCGTGGTCTGTTCACCGGCTGCCGAGGCCAGCTCACCTCTCGCAGATACAGGCGCCTAAACTGCTCAGGGTCATTCTTTTCACTCCTGAGATGCGCCAGACTGTACTACAACGGTGGTACGAGCTACGTGGAAACTTTCCGTACGAAGTCAGGATGCATCCAGACAAACCGCGGGAGGAGCGCAGGCAAATTCAGGGACGTAATTCCACGCCACTCAGTCGAGCCACGCCATCACTACCTATTACGCGACTTGTGGATATAACAAAAAACGAATAGGCGCCGGCCCCTGTGGGGTCGGCGTAAACCACACTGGAACTACCCTACCATCTATGCCTTCAATCCACTGCCCGCCAGCAGTTCATGTTAGCACGTGGAACTGCTTGTACACCAACGCTTTATCGCTACGGAACAAGGTGTCCGAACTCTCTTCCCTTGCGCTGGACACGCAAGCTAAAGTTATATGTATAACCGAAACCTGGTTCTGCCCAGACGTTGTGGACGCCGAGGTAGCTATCCCGGGATACGTGCTCTTTCGAAACGATCGTGAAAGCGGCAAAGGCGGCGGCGTAGCTGTGTATGTATCAGACCGCCTCACATGCATCCCTCTCAAATCTCCGGAACTACTATCTCTTCCCGAATCCCTCTGGATTCGCGTCCGCGGATCTGGTTCCACCAGTCTCACCCTTGGAGTGGTTTATCGCCCTCCCTCAGCTGCGCCAGAATGGCTGCGGTGCTGGAACGCCGCCCTCCGAGCAGCCACTTCAGATTTGGGTGCCCCCCTACTCGTCGCAGGTGACTTTAATTTCCCGGAGATAGACTTTACCTCTGGCCAAGCTCGCAGTCAGCACAGCCTTGAGTTTCTTGCCAGTGTTCTAGAACATGGCCTAACCGAACACGTACAGCAGTACACTCGGTGGCGAGACGGTCAAAACCCGTCGAAACTCGACTTGCTGCTCACCAACGAGCCACATCTAATTGACAACGTTAATTTGAGCGCCCCAGTTGGTGCAAGCGATCATGTAGTTATCAGTTTTCGTGTGGTGGCGAACGTCACGCTCAACGCTAAAGCACTGCCCATCAGGCTTAACTTTCGTCGAGCGGACTATGACGCCATCAAAGATTTCCTCTCACGAGTCGACTGGTCCCTGGCAGCACAAACCCCCACAGTCGACGACCATTGGAACTACATCGCCGCTCACATCCACGACGCAATTAGGGCACACGTCCCCACAGTGCGCGCTTACGCGCCGAAACGCCACAGGCAACTTCAGCCTGCTACGCTTAGGCTGATCAGGGAGAAGAAAGCCCTCTGGGACAGATTCTTACTTTTTGGCGACTCTGATTCGCGTGCACAATACTGTAGAGTGCGAAATTCCTGCATAGCAGCTGTTCGCCAGGACAGAAAAGCGTACCAGCTCTCTCTCGCTAAAAGCTTCACCGATAACCCCAAGGTCTTCTTTAAGCATATAGCGTCTCTCACTAAATCGCGCGCTGCCGTTGGCAGCCTGCTCGGACCCGTAGGCCATACCACAACGTCGGACAAAGAAGCTGCGGAATTGCTGAAGACTCAGTACGAGTCCGTTTTCGGCACCTTCGCAAGCAGTACAACGGTAGGCGCTAACTTTACCCCCGTCACTGCCAGACATCCCGTGCAGTTTACATCAGAGAAAGTCCTGGAGAAATTAAAAAAATTAAGGACAGACAAATCGCCGGGTTTGGACGGGATCCCTCCCATTTTTCTACGTGAGTGCGCCACTGTACTGGCCGAGCCGCTTGCCTTACTGTACAGCCGCTCCTACACCAGTGCCGAATACCCGAACGCTTGGAAGCAAGGGGTCATAACGCCGATATACAAGGGTGGTGACAGGACAAACCCCTCTAATTACCGCCCGATAGCACTGCTTTCCACTGCCTCCAAAGTAATGGAGAGTATCGTAGACGATTTCTTGCGCTGCCATTTAGAAAGTCTGTCCTTAATAGCCCCGGAACAGCACGGGTTCCGCAGGGCTCACTCGTGCACCACGAATCTTCTCGCAGCCCTTGATTCCTGGACTGCAGAGGCAGACAATCATACTCCAACTGACGTGGTTTACGTGGATTTCTCAAAAGCATTCGACCGGGTCAATCACGCACTGCTGTTGAGTAAACTGCCGAGTTTGGGGATCGACCAGCAAACAATCTGCTGGCTAAGTACCTACCTGTCTGGCCGCACCTACCGAGTTCGTGTAAACGGCGCACTCTCCAGCGCTCTGGCTGCAACGACCGGGGTGCCCCAGGGATCCATCCTCGGGCCCCTGCTGTTCAATTTGTTCATCAACGACCTCCCATCCTGTATCAGCAGCCACATACTGCTTTATGCGGACGACGCTAAGATATGGCGACCTATCCGCAGGCCAAGTGATCAGGCACTTCTCCAGACAGACATCGATGCTGCTTATTCTTGGGCCTCGAAAAATTCGCTCCCGTTTAACATCGACAAGTGCAAAGTCATGCACATTGGGCAAGGTGTGGCTAATCCGTACAATATCGGCGGTGTGCATCTTAAAGCCACATCCCAGGAACGCGACCTGGGGACCATAATATCCGCCGACCTGAGCCCGAGCGCCAATGTAGCTACACTGGCGCGAAAGGCTAGCGTTCGCCTGGCCCTCCTTGGACGTGCACTAGGGTCTTTCCCTAGAGAGACATTTGTCCGTCTCTATAGCACTTTAGTACGTCCGCTGCTGGAGTACAACATACTTGTCCAGCCGCCGTACCTGAAGAAGGACGAGGCCATGCTGGAAACTGTACAGCGCAGAGCCACTAAGAGAGTGGACGGACTATCCCACTTCTCGTATGAGGAGCGTCTGGCGGCCCTTAACCTCTTCCCGTTGAAATATCGCAGGCTTCGTGGCGACCTTATCTTAGCTTATTCCGTCCTGACTAATAACAGACACCCAAACGCAGGATTGCTGGTCCGCGCCCGTACAGATCATCTTCGAGGGCACTCACTCAAACTGATGACTCGTAGCAGTCGCCTTCTGTGCCGAAGAAACAGTTTCAGTGTGCGTACTGCCTTCGCTTGGAACGCCCTCCCCGAAGCTGTTGTCTCAGCGCCCAATACGGAGGCCTTCAAACAGCGCCTAGACGCTTGGCTCTTACCTCGCTGGTCTTCAACGTTGCTAAGATCTGGCCATTTTCCAAGCTAACACGCGGCGCTTCCATCATTTTGCTTCTATCCAACTTTGCCGAATTTACCTACACCACTCTCTTGTTCCAGGTATCCACGTTCCCACAGTCAACTCGCTGAATTCTTGTGCTGAACACCACTACTGCGTCGAGAACCACAACATCTGGTACCTACCGACGAGATCAGGACCTTGCCGTAAGATCCCGAGGCAGAACCACCGAAAAGCTACGCTTACTCGTTCTGCGCAAACCCGTGAAACCCGTGAAACCCGTAGGGGTAGCTGAGCCGGAATTAGGTGTAGACGAAAAAGGTGATGAAACAAGAGTCCAATGCAGTGGAAGCCTCAGACTTTGTTGGAGTAGAATGAGGGCTCAGGACTCGCAGTTCGGCATGAAGGCAATGACTGTTTAACGAAGTACGGCTGCGGCTATAGGAAACAGTGCTATCCGATGTAGTATATTGTTGTAGACTTATAGAGTTAAGGAGAAATGTCGCAGCAGGTAATATGCAGCTATCGGTCACACTCAGAGCACCGTACGGCCTTAGAAGGCAACGACACAGCTTTACTGCAACTCAGGCATTTTGACGTCATAGCTAACAACCCGGATAGCTCTTCCCACTCAATAAAGCGAAGGCAAATCCTTCGGCCGGCCGGCTGAACAACCTCCTCGTGCTGCCCGCTGGGTGGTTCGGGTTTACCCCTTCCAGCAAATAGTTCGGCGGCAGTGTACCAGGACGTGGCGTCTTTTCGCCTGGCATGCGTTCTCCTTATAAAAGCCACAAAAGTCCGTTTAACAACAATGTGACGTGGCGGTTGTGACTCGCCACTAACTAAAGTCACCCATTGCTTATCCGGGCATCCGCTCCAAGTCCACAGATAGCAAGCATCCATTTAGCACCGGCGACACCTACAAACACATTCAAGCAAAGCGACAGGAAACATTTACCAATCCCACAAACAAAGCCAAACACGCCTACATGCAAACTTACGTGCATTCATATATAAACATTTGCAACGATCACATTGTTCCATCGTACATTAACTGCTCACCTTTTTTACTCTTAACATGATCACGCCTAGCAGGCGTGTCTCGCTTAGTAGAGAATACACAATCTATTTATTTACAAAATCCGAGAACTTGGAATGGACGTCGCTATTCGCAGTTCATAGGATCATAGGATTGTAGAAAGCAGAAGTAGGAATCCTTTGTCAGCTCCATCGCTTCCCAATCATTGTGTGGAAGCCGCGATTCGATGTTAAGCGGTAATCCACCAGGGACCGTGACAGCTACAGTGGAAGCTGCAAGGGCCCATCGTATTCAAAAGATAAGAATCTAACATCCGCTTAAAACCTTCCTTTGTCTGGGCATCGACCACGTGCTTCGGTAAGTCGTTCCAAGCGTTGACTACGCGAGTTGATAGAGCGAGAGCGGGATGAACTCGGAGCCTTCTGGGTTTAAACAGTTTCTAGTTTTGGCCTCGAGTTGAACTGTTTGCGTTGAATGGAAAGCATGCCCGCAGCTCCGGCCCCGTCTCTCCTCTTAGGATACGCCTGCTGAAAATCAGGTCGCCGCGACGTCGGCGATAATCCAGGGAGAACAGGTTCATGCGTTGAACACTCAGGGGATAAGGCAAGTCCAGTACCTCCAAGATGTATTTCGATCCCCGCCGTTGGACCTTCTCAATGAGGTCACCTTCGAACTTGGTGAGAGAGAAAATGGCAGGTAATCCGTATTCGAGAATAGGGCGCACACGGGAAGTAAACACTAGTCGGAAGATGACAGAAGTCAAACGCGAGAAGGCTCTTCGTATTGCATGGGACATCCTGTTGGCAGCAGCAACCCTTCGTAACGTGTCCTGTTTAGTTCGTAGATAAGATGACATCAACACGCCGAGGTCATTTTTAAGGACTGAGGTTCTGAGCAACGCTCCACCAATGTGGTACGTCCGAAAAGTTCAGGAGCACCAATGGGGAGGACCGAACACTTATCGCGATTTAAGGGCAATCGCCATTTGACTATCCACGCATGTAACGTATCAAGTTTAGCCTATAACCGGTCCACATCGTCCAGACAGGATACCTCCATCCATAACTTTAAGTCGTCAGCGTAAATCAAGCAATCCAACTCAAGTTCCGTCGGGAAATCATTGATGAAGAGCTTGAAAAGTTCTGTGCCCATGATTGATCCCTGTGGGACACCGCTATTCATGAGCACAGGAGCGGAGTAAGTCTCGTTCACGTCGAACCTCTTTGTCCGGTCATGCAAGAAATCAGCGATTCAAGGAGAACGTTCCCAGAAACACCGATTGAGCGTAGGTTATAAAGGAAGCTTTTATGAGGAACCTTGTCGAAGGCCTTGCTGAAGTCGACAAAAATAACAGCAAGGCGTTTCCCAGCGTCTAATGACTTCACCCATCTTTCACGGGCCACAAGCAGATTCGAAGAACATGAACGCGCTCGCCGAAAACCATGCTGCGCACAGGAGATGACGTTTATGTTCTCGAGGTGGAATAGAAGTGCCCGCTTGAGAATCCTCTCCATTACGTTGCATAATATTGACGTTAAACAGATGGGTCGATAATTGGTAGTTCATATACCAATCCACAGACGCGCTTCCCACAGTCTACGCACTTGTATGTAATATCTTCCAAAAGAAAATTTTAACTATAGGCAAACTTCGTCAAAACCGTCTACTAAAACCCTTCTCTTCACGAGAATTTCATCTAAAAACTCGAAACTATAGCAATCCCAAAATGAGTTACCGCGTATTACTCACAGTACAGCTGTATAACATACAGACAAGGGAGAACTCCAGAGCTTGAGACAGAACGTACATTACACAACACGTAGGCTGGTTAATTGTTCTCTCCAGGTTCTTGTTCTTCTTCATTAATTGCGCAGGAACGATGTTCTGAAAGGCAAAGGGAATAGGTCCCGTCAAGGCAACTATTCAAATTTGACCACGCACCAACCTAGTTTCGCTCATTCGTTCCACCGCACCCCTTCTATGGAGGCAACCTCTTCGTTGCCACGCCAAAGCCCCCTTCAGCCGGTACTTCAACTTCGGTGGCTACTTCTGTCGATGGCTCATTGTGGTGCTCCTTATCCGCATGCTCAGGCTCGATTTGGGAATGTTTAAGCCGATTAAAGTCTACGAACATGTGCTGCCCGACGGCGTTCTTGGGGTCCCTAATCACACAAGTCAGATCAGGTATTATTCGGTCTACCACCTAGGGGCCTGCCCACTGACGATACAGTTTCGCAGGTATTCCTGGTACTGGTGCCTGATGTACATATACGAAGTCGCCTGCTTTCAACGAGACACCGAAAACCATCTTGTCGTAGTATTCCTTCCGTCGCCGTGGAGTGTTCATCAAGTGAATGCATGCCGCGTCTTTTGTTCATCGAATGGAGTCAAGAAGCTTACTGACGTATCCTGCAACCGACGGGTACACCTGTTGTGGTATCGGTAATCGGACTTCCTAGGGCAACCGAAGTTCTCTACCGCTGCACATAAGTGACGGCGTTAACCCGGTAGTAGAGTGGACCGTACTGCAATAGGCCAACAAGCATTTAGGCAACCACGTATTCCAATCATAGATGCTCTGGTTCACGAACGCCTTCAAGAGTGACTTCAACGACCGATTCGTGCGTTCAACCTCTCCATTCCCTCGTGGATGGTAGGCCGGTTTTGGCGTTTTATCCATACCGAGTGCTCTGCACCTCATCTGGACCAGTGAGCTTCCGAAACATGATCCCCTGTCGGAATGCAGTTGACCAGGCGCTCCCCATTGGCAAACCCAGTGGTTAGCCATTGCTGTTGCCAAAGTGGGTGTATCAGCCTGCGCGATTGGCACGGCTTCACACCCTTTGGTGAAGTAGTCTACCATGAATAGGATGAAGCGATTCCCTCTCGGCGTTTCCGGTAGCGGATCAACGTGGTCTACTCCAACTATTTCGTTCAGGTAACCCGCTGGCATGGATTGGAATGGTGCCGTTTGAGCAATAGACGGATTTTGAACGTCAAGCATCTTTCGCAAGTTTGGCAAAAGTTGTCAACGTCTCTTCGTTGATGCGGCCACCAAAATCGCCGGCACGCCGCGATTTTCTGTTTACTGATTCCAGCGTGTCTCAGCTGTTGGTGCAGTTCAGACAGCATTTCCGGAACTAACGCTTGTGGAACTACGGTCCTCCTCAGGTAAGTCGGGCCGAAATCAAAGACCAACACACCCTCTTCGATTCCGAGCTTATCCCATATCGCTAACAAACACCGAGCTTTGTAGCTTCTCCCTTCCAGTTCTTTCGGAGCTGGTTTGTCCCTTCCCGAGCGCCGCTTGTGGAAGCTAAGTGTTATGTCTGGGTCCGAAGCCAGTGCCTCTTGCCAACGACCATACTTAGCTTTTTGTAGTTTGACTAACGCTACGTGTTGCGTAATGCAGTGAGGACAATTTCCGTGACCTCGAGAAGGAATCCTCGATAGCGGCTCCGCGTTGCCGTGTTGTTTCCCAGGCCGCTGGTGACATTCGAACTCATAATCCTGTAGTTGCTCTTACCATCGAGCGATGTGCCCCTCAGGGTCCCTGAAGTGCTGCAACCACCTGAGTAATTGGTGATCAGCCCGTACTACGAACTTTCTTCCTAACAGGTAGTGCCGACTTTGTATTATGAAAAACACCAACGTCAACATTTCTTTCCTTGTCGTACAGTAATTTCGTTCTCTTGACGAAAGGCTTCTACTAATGTATGAAACCACTCTCTCTATGCCAGCCGCCCTATTTGTAACAAAACCGCTCCAATTGCCTGATCGCTGGCATCCGTGTCCAAACTAAATGGCCCAGCGTGTGGTGACAAGCCTGCGACGATTAACATGGAGCGGTACACAGTGACTCATGCAATCGATCGAAGCCCGTTTGACATTTGCCAGTTCAAGCAAAACTGCGACCATTCTGCAACAGCGCGTTTAAAGGGGCTGCTTCTTCCGAGAACCCTTTGATGAATTGACGGTGGTACGGCGCCAGCCTTAAGAAATTGCGTAATTCCTCGACATTAGCGGGGATTGGCCACGCCTGTACCTGCTCTGTCTTGTGAGGATCTTTCCGGATTCCTGCCCTAGGGATGATGCGTCCGATATAGGTAACTTCTTCTTGTAGTAAGCGACATTCTTTGGTTGGATTCCAATCTATATGAATTACACGTTAGCACTTCGGCTAGATTTCTTAGATGTTCATCCTTCGTTCTCCCATGTACAGTGACGTCGTCC